ACTAAAAGCTTGTAAAACTTAGTTTTTAACTTTTCTTCATTTTTAAACCCTTTTAATTTAGTCCTACGCTGCTAGCATTTTGAGTACAGCCACTGCTAGCTTAAAATCATTACACTCTGTAAAATACTTGCTTTGATGTAACATAAGGATAAATGAAAGAGACATTTGAAGAAGCCTTAGAGGAGTAACTGTGGCATACCCACCACTGTATCATACTTTTCATGATACTTTAAACTTCTGAAGTCCCCATATAACATTTTTAAACCCCTGTTCTCCCTTAGTAGCCCCACCCCGTGGTTAAGGGTGCTAAAGGGCTTAGGGATCAAAGCCTCATTAAGACGCTCTCAGTCTTGCGGAGCAGACTGCTAGGCTCAGCACATGGTCCCCCATACAAACAGACTGCACTATATACTTCAGTCAAGAAGCAAACACAAACACACACACTGGTAATTAAGGAAGGGGAAAGTGGGAGCTCACGAAGATCACTTCCTCACTCCACCCTGACAATCACATTTATGGTGACTTACATATTCTTATAGACGCTATGTAAGTGCCCAGAATTTAAACAGGTGATTTTTGACAAATCACAATAAATATGATAGGACAGACTGCAGAGAGAAATAAAAATAGAAAAGCATCACAAGTAATATTTCAATTAATTTAATAATGAAAAAGATAACAGGACTGCCTAAAAATACCCTGCAAGTAGAAAATTCAGAGTAAACTTATGGGCCCTTCTTTCTTGAGGTTAAAAAAAAAAAAAAAAAGCAGCAAACTTGTAGTAAATCTCAGGTAACTGATTTCCTATTACAGAGTGAGGCCTTGACACTTCTAAGAGCCAGAAGCCCGGCAGCAGTGAATGTGCTGCATTCAGCCAGTCACCCAGCCAGGGCTGCAAACACTTCAGAACTCCGTGCAGGTCCACTTCTGAACCCACCCTTTTATTTGTGAACTGAAAACATGGACAATGGCACGTAGACCAGGTTAGCAGAACACTTAATCTGTACTAAAGCTACACCGTAAGAGTGAAAGTTATATTTCATACAAACGGGCTCTTGTGTAGCTGTATCCCCAGACCCAGCACAAGTGATAGTTCAGCCATGATGTTACAAATTAGTTTCTAGTTTTGGTAGTTAGAGATTTTTGGTTAAAAATATTTTCAGAAATTTAGTGTCTATAGTAAGTAGTAATCCAGTGTATAAAGTAAATATGTTGAAGGTAAAAATCTACATTAACAGAAAGTTCTGATAAGTTAGGAAACAGTTAACTCTGCTCCGATGGTTTATACTAACTTGTAAGCGCTTTTGCCCACATGTGATGCTAGAGCACTTGGTTAAGGATAAGACAGAATCTAAGCTGCACATTTTTAACAAGTGCTGGAATACCGTAGGGCTGGAAGGATGAACTGAAATTCAACCCTACAAGTTTAATTTATAGTATTCTTGTATTTTGTGGCATGTCTGACTTCCACATGATTTGAGACTACCACATTCTCTCTGCAACAGGGGTTAGTTCCCAGTGCTTCTGATAAAAATGAAAGGAAGCCTATAGTGGACAACTATAGAACAATCTGTCCACAGGAAACGTTTCTTGTGAACTCCCCATAAAAGCCTTGTATAAGAGACCAAGTGAGGTGATGATGGTGACAATGAATTCCGGAGGTGGTGGTAAGCAGACAACAAGCAGGGAATAGACAGTCACACAGGGTATGGTATAAGGAAGACAGCAGAATGTTGAAAGAAAAGAAAGGAAATGGGAGATGGATTGTAGGGAAGGGTAGTGTTTAAGTGAGATTTACCAGGGGAGAGGTATCTGTGTAGCAATACCTCTTTTACACCCTTTTCTGCAAGCATCCAAAGGGTATAGTGTGAATGAATAATACACGTTAGTTGAAGCCATTTTGCAGCTGGATTAAGAAGAGGACCTTGTGAGAGGATGTCCAGTCGCCATGGAAGCTGGAGTGGGGAATTCCAGTTTCTGCTCCAACAGGTCCAAGGTCTCCTTGGCCACTGAGGAATTATAAGAATTACTGTTGCCTGGTCTCATCTTATTTTCTGGTCCACATACCTCAGTAGTAGAAAGGGCAGAAACGAGTAGAGTACTGGGGTTCCTAACCCATTTCCCCCCCCCGTTGGAGTGACAGCTGCTTTGGTGGGGTGGGGACCCCAGCTGCCTGTCTCTCTCACAGCTACCGTACCATACCAGAATCAGGTAAGGAAGGTGGGTGCAGGCTGGGCACAACTCACCCTCTGGAAAGCTTAGGAGGCTGCCTTCCACATAGGGAGGATTTAATTCTGTGCCTTCTTGGCTGCTCTATGTCTGCAAGGAACAGAGGGGCCCACAGGGAGATGCTGAAGTGGAGTCAGAGGGAGGGTTATACACCTGAGGGGTTAACTGACCAAGGGAGGAGAAACATTGGAGAGGGAGAAGTCTGCTCATACCTGCCCAAAAGCTGGGCTGAAACAGTTCACATGGCAGGGTAAGGACTCTTTCTGTGGATCCCACCACTGTTTGCTGTCATGCAGGCTGGGAATCTGGAGATAAGTAGGAGCAGAGTGGGGGTGGCCAGAACACGCAGATCCAAACAACTGATCTCTCTCTGTAAAGCTGCACAGAAAGGAAAGCAGCCCAGATGTTCAGAACTGTGGGAGATGGTGGGTTGCAGATTAAGATACCTGTGGCTGCTTATATGTAGCTGGACATATAGTATCAAAATACCAAGCAAAACATACACCTGAAAACTGTACAGAGAAACTACCTCGATGTAGAAGTAGCCTCTCTCTAATTCAGAGCAGAACAAGTTTCCATTATGGAACTCTATTTTAACCATCCCTATACCGGCTTGTAAAATGGGTTTGGCTTGAAGATTGCTTTCAGAGTTCAAAGGAGAATTTTGTATTTCCTTCAAGCTTCACAGAATCAGTCTGTGCCCACCTCACTACAATTTGACAAAGATTTGAAACTGAGTTTTGTCCAACATTGCTTTGTTTTGTGATAGCTCACAAGCTTGTTCCTACTCCTTCAACCTTTCCATTCAGTTAAGTTGCCCGGGAACCCATGCATTGGCTACGTTTCAAAACAGCCTGACATTAAGCAAATTTGAATTTTTGTTGTTGTAGATAAGTGAGGACCACATACTGTTCCCCCTAATTTCAATGGCAGTTACGGCACGAATGCTACTCCAAGTGCCATAAAGAGTAAGGTTTTTTTGCTGTTTACTTCAGTAGGTACAGGTGTATGAGCACATTGTTTTTTCTAACCTGTGATCAGCTACCCCAACAGAGACACTTCCATAACCGTGAACTAATCTCCCGTTGTCTCACATGCAGAACCAAATATTTTGGAGCAGTGGACAAGGGTTCTAGTCCCAGTTCTTCCAAGTATGTTATTAGGGAGACATGGTATATTCACTAGAGTAGAGCGATTTTGATGCCCTGTAACTCCAAAACATAGCGTCGGCTTTCAGTTATTTAGACTTAAAAATCACATTGAGATGTAGAATTTGTTTTGAACTTTGGAATAAGTTAAGTCTTGAGGTTATACAGCTCTAAAATGGCTTTTTTTGAAACTTGTGATGCATTTAACTTTTTTTGGGAGGGACTTATTAGTCCACTGAAATCAAGTTTTCAAAGTCTGAAACTGATTTTACAGGCAGTCTCCATTTTAAAACACATATTGCACATTGTAAGGCATTGATTGTAGCATCAAACACACAGAGGCATTAGGTCATACAATGGACTTTTAAGAGCAGGAGTAGTAAAAGGTTTAAGAGGTTATTTGGAAACTATACTATTCTGAAAAAAATTATAGTGATCAGCCGCAAATACAGTGTCTGCATACATACTGTCAAGATTACTTCACTGTAACATCACACTTCCATTAAACTGAAATTCTCAAGAAAAACCAATCATAAGTAGTACTGATCAAAACTTGGGAGTTTCCATTTTGCAGCAAATTTTAACATTTCAGTTTGTTTTGACCAAACAATATTTCTGATATTTCCCCTGAACTCAAAATTCCATGAGATTTTCATTTTAAAAAACAACCAAACATGGCATTGTTTCCAAAGTAAGGTATGCTCTGTAGGATCCCCTGCAGCTACTCAGGGCTCATCTACACTACCACTTAAGTCAACAGGAGTGTGAAAAAGCCATCCCCCAAGTGACATAAGTCACATCAACTTAAAATGGTGTCTGCATTGCACTATGTTGGTGGGAGACGCTCTGCCACAGGCATAGCGTGTCTTCAGCAGACACACTACAGCAGCATAGCTGCATCGGGGCAGCTGCACCGTAGTATAAATTAGTCCAGACTGAAATTGACATGATTTGACAGATTTGCCCCTGTATGGTGCACATAGCACGGTGAAACTGACCTGGGTTCCACAGAAGCATACTACTTTTGATGAACTGGTATTTTTGATGGAAAACTGGTTTCACTGGCAAATTTCTGATGGGCTCTACTTTTAAATATTTTAGAAAAAAATCTTTCCATTAATGCTTTTAAATTATCCATTTAAAATATACCTAAATTAAAGCAACAAAATACATAAACAATCCAGGGATCAGAGTTATGTTGTGACAAGCCAAGTATTTATACTTTTAAGTAAATACTGATTATTGTTGTGGGCAGAGTCCAATTTCACTGAATCAAAATGTTTGAGTTTTGTAGATGTGATAGGTATGCACACTTGTCACTTTGCAAATATATCCAGTTTCATAAATGAAGATTTTGGGGGGTCTGAATAGTTAAGAGTTCAGAATTAAGCTCTAACCAGATAAACCAAGAATACAAAAGTTATCCAAACTTGTGTTTTTCTGTTTTTGAACAAAAAACTTGGAAAACTGCTTTATCTTAAGTAACAAGGAATCTGGTGGCACCTTAAAAACTAACAGATTTATTTGAGCATAAGCTTTCGTGGGTAAAAACCTCACTTCTTCAGATGCATGGAGAAGTAAGTACTTTACATAGCTTGGAGATCTTAATAATGACAAGTTACCTTAACCAACAATATTTTTATTGATTCAGTATTCGAGCATCATTAGATTAAGGTCTTTTAGAAAAGCATACCATTAGAAAAATCAGACAAAAGAAATTTAATTTATGACTGACAACTAGTACATGCAGTTTAATAAAATTTTATCAGACTGTGGGAAACATGCTGCCCTTGTTGACAGATGAACAGTTATGAATCTAAATTATTGAACAAGGTAACATTTCAATTTTGTTCACAGGTACTGTGAAATAATTAATTCTAGTCAGTTAGTCACCTGGAACTGATAGTTTCTCTGAACATGAGGCAAAAACAGTGGTTCTTTTTTTTTGCTTAAATAGATCTAGCCACAGTTGCTTTATGGAATATGCATCATTAAGATCAGTTAAAAAAAGATCAGCAGTGAATGCTGCACATATATTAAGATCTTCTCCACATATGATTTAGTCTCAGAAAAAGTAGCTTGGTTAAGGGCTTGATTAATCCTGTAGTGCATACGTGTAATGTCTAATTTCATTCTCATGCACCACTATCACATTTTAAGCATTAGTCATTTAGGACAAAACTGATTTTTTCCCAGATCAAAAGGAGTGTCAATATACATTAACCAAATACAGTAAAACGCAATAAAAGACTCCACATAATTTTAAAACCTCCCTTGTCAATATATTTGTATTTACATAACTTCATAAACGTCTAATATGTAATGACCCACTGAAGACATTTTTACAACAAGATTATGAATTTATAAATTCAAAGACTCAGAGGCACATAGTTTAAAAGGCCAACAACACTGAAACCAATGAAGTCACAGAAATTGGAATATTTATGGACATATCACTAGTACGAAATAAAAACCACATCCAAAACAGCAACCCACCTTGGAGACATCCTTTAAAGTTAGCATGATAAAAAGTTCTCATTTCCTTCAAAAGAAAAATAATTCATCCCTCCTACCAAGCCTAGAAAATCCTATTTACAATTGTACTTTATTCAGCAGTATCAAATTGTGTAATACAGCCACTTCTATTCTGCCATTAGAATTTAATGTTTCTATTTCAGTATAGTTATATTTACAAATGCTTACAATATTTAACTCTGGTCTTCATTAAGAAGATTTGAATGAAAACAGATTGTTAAATCACAATACAAAAAGTGTTTTGAGGAGGGTGTATATTCAGTATCATTCCCAAGGAACAAGATGTCATAACTTCTGATAAAGCTTAAGTTCACCACCAAGAACAGGTCTTTAAATTATGTTAATGAAGATTAAATCTCTTCTGTACCAAGTTTCACACACTGGGGTTTTCTTTAGTCAGTCAACTTTCACCACGCTGTAAATTTTGGTCACAAACCAAAAGCATGCAAAGAATCCAATTGTCCCTACAAAAAAAAAAAAATTTTTTTTTCAAAAAGATTCACAAATATGGAAATGTACACGTAGACAGAATTCTTCTTTCAAAACAAAGAGTTACACATTAGCACAACTAGTATAGGGTCTAACACAGAAATTAGAAACTCACTCTGTGTGTAGGACCAAATTACATTTTTCTGTACACCAGGATATAAGTTTAGGACTACATATTACCCTCCACAGCTGATCACCTAGTGTCAATGGAAAGTTTACATAAAGATAGAATACGGTATTTATATAGTAACTGAACTTTAATCAAATTTTTATTTATTAATGCTTCATTACATTCAGCATCACTCAGTGGAAGAAATCACTCACCTTTAAGACCAGAGCTATTTCTGTTCTTTGTTTCTCTTTTCTCTCCCCCTGCCATCTCCACCCCAAGTCTTTCATTTCCCTCCTTTAAGCATTTCCCTATCAGGTTCACAACCACACCTTTCCCAACTGCATCTGCTCAAGTGATCAGCTATGTATGACATTAATAGTGTCATTACACTGTTCAGTTGACACCTCAATTACTGTGGGCAAACTTAGGAAGATAGTACTGCACTGATTTACATACACATTAAAAACCCTTTCCAAATTCGGCACATCAAGCGGTAGAAAGATTTTTTTTTTAAATGAAAGGAGAGGTTATTCACTTTGTGCAATAAATGGAGTTTGAGAGGTGTCCCCCTATGGGTGCTCCACTTCAGGTGCACATGCACCCAAGCCTTTGATCACCGATTTTTGGTAGCATTGGTCGTTCAGCCCACACATCCTTGTGCCCCACACTCTGGCTTCATAGGGCTGCCTGGGCGAATCGGCCTCAGTTTCTTCCCTACCATAGTAGGAAACTCCTAAGCAGAGGGGAAGGAGGGCAGGTAGCAGAGCACCTACAGAGGGACACATCTCAAATAACTTGTTACTACACAAGGTGAGTTGTAAGGTCTGAGGCCTCTTTCTGCAGTAAAAGCAGCAGCCAGAGTGAGAAACAGCAGCCATGTACTAAGTTGCAGAGTCACATCCTCACATTCCATCTATTGCACCAAAGCAATGTCCTATCAGGCTGTTAAGAAGGTGAGCCTGTTCTAACAGAATCTACCATCACCAGATAAAGCAACAGATCCTAATATGTTTAAAGAAAACTTTGCTAATATTCTGTCTCGCAAGAAACCACTTAACAGTTGTGATTGTGAAATCTATATTGTTTTGCCTTTATGGTCCCTACTTCTCTATCTGTGTGGTCTCTGTCTGATTCTTTATTGTTTGTCTGTTGCATATTTAATTTTTCAAAGTTTAAATCAATGAAGGTGGTGGGGCCTGATTATAGTTTTGTAATCGGCTAGGATTGGTGAAAAACAGTATTGTAGCACTTTAGTTTAAAATGATTAGTTAGGGAAAACTAAGCAGGACCCAAATTTTAACTACATGAACTGGGGTTCAAAGGGAAGTTCTTTGGACCCTAACACCAGGACACAGCCCAGGATCAGAGCTGCCAGACCTCAACACCCTGCTGATAATACCGTGCAGAAGCTGGAGCTCCGAATGACCTAATCTTGACCGGCCATCAAGAAAAGTTCATCTGCCTTACTGGGAGTGGTGAGCATTGTATGCTTAGCATGCGTATTCTGTTTTGGTAACTGTTAATAGAGGTTAAGGATATTACTGTGTAAGGCTCTTTCACTGGTAAAAGGCCCTACAGACCTTTACAGCCCTGAGCCCACTGGGAATGGGTGTTGGCCCATGGAAGGATAGAGTTGCTTCCCTTATTTCCTGAGTACCCAAAGGGGTGTGTGAGAGAACCCTAAATTGTGTGGGTAACAGAGTAACCTCTCCTTCTCTGATTAGCGTCCCTGTGGGTGCTCCACTTCAGGTGACTCCCCAACAGTGACCCCCTTAAGGAGGTGGGAGGTTCAGAACAGAGTCCAGCACTGAAGAGAGAATGGTATTGCCTTCTTGCAGCCTCCAATCTAGCAGAGTGAACCAAAGCATAATCAATGCCTGGAGAAAGTATGCACTGAAATCCACATTGCAGCTTTGCAGATCTCAGCAACTGGAACATCCCTGAGTAGGGCTACAGATGTAGACTGATCTAGTAGATAGAATGTGCAGTCACTCACATGGGAGGCTGAGCATAAGCCAAACCGTAACAGGTAATATATACACAGATCGATAGAGAGAGTGTCTTTTCATGATCCCCTAGACTGGGGTGGGCAAACTATGGCCCATAGGCCGAATCCGGCCTGCCAGCTTGTTTTAATCCAGCCCTCGAGCTCCCGCTGGGGAGCAGGGTCTGGGGCTTGTCCCACTCCAGCCGGGAAGCAGGGTCAGGGGCCGCTCCACGTGGCTCCCGGAAGCAGCGGCATGGCCCCCCTCCGGCTCCTACACATATGGACAGCCAGGGGGCTCCGCTCTGCATGCTGCCCCTGTGCCAAGCATCGCTCCCATTCTCCTGGGAACTGCGGCCAATGGGAGCTGCAGGGGCAGTGCCTGCGGACCGGACAGCGCACAGAACTGCCTGGCCATGCCTCTGTAGGAGCTGGAGAAGGGACATACTGCTGCTTCTGGGAGCCCCTTAAGGTAAGGGCCACCCACAGCCTGCACCCCTGAGCCTCTCCTCATGCCCCAACCCTCTGCCCCAGCCCTAATCCCCTCCCGCCCTCCAAACCCTTTGATGCCAGGCCAGAGGACCCTCCTGCACCCCAAACCTCTCATCCCCAGCCTGCACCCCCAGACGGAGCCCTCACCCCCCATGCCTCAACCCCCTGCCACAGCTCTGATCCCCCTCCCGCCCTCCAAACCCCTTGGTCCCAGCCCGGAGCACCCTCCTACACTCCAAACTCCTCATCCCCAGAGCCCGCAACCCCAGCCAGAGCCTGCACCCCAACCCCCTGCCCCAGCCCTGCTCGCTCTCCAAACCCCTCAGTCCCAGCCCGGAGCACCCTCCTACATCCCAAGCTCCTCATCACCAGCCTCCTGCCCTGCATCCCACCTCAGCACGGAGCCCCCTCCTGCACCCTGAACTCCTCATTTCTGGCCCTACCCGGATCCCACACCCCCAACCAGAGCCCTCACCCCCTCCCAACCCCATTTTTGAGAGTATTCATAGCCCACCATACAACTTCTATTCCAAGATGTGGCCCTTAGGCCAAAAAGTTTGCCCACTCCTGCCCTAGACCTATCCAAAATAGGGACAAAGTCTAGGGGACTTCATGAATGCTCTGGCTCTGTCCAAGTAAAAGGCCAATGCCCTCTTAACATTTAGTTTATGGAAGGTCTCTTCTTCTGTAGACTGATGCAGCTAAGAAAAGAAAACTGGAAGGTAAATAGTCTGGTTAACATGAAACTCAGAAGAAACTTTAGGTAAAATTTTTGGATAGGATTATAATGATACATTCTCCTTGGAGCACACAGTAAATACAGAGCATGCCATCAGAGCCCCAATCTCCCCAACCCTTTGTGCAGAAGTGAAAGCCACCAAGAAAATTTATCTTCATAGAAAATGTAACAGACAACACACAGCTAGTGGCTCAAAAGGCTTTCTCAGGAGACTGTTAAAAATAAGGTTGAGACCCTAAGTGGAATAGGAGCTCTAAATTGTGGAAGAAGTTTCGTAAGACCATTCAGGAAACTCATCATGCTCAGATGTGCGAAAATGGAGAAACTGTGTACTGGCAAGTAGAAAGCTGTTATTGACACTGAATGAAACTTGATGGAACTCAGAGAGAGACTGGATGTTTTCAATTACAACAGGTAATCCAAGGTTATGGAAAGAGATAACTGGACAGGTGAAAGATTATGGTGATGACATCAAAGATGAAGTCTTTTCCCTTTCTGATGGTGTGTCTTGTAAATTCCTGCTATTTAACACCACATGTTTTACTCCCAAATGAACAGGATGCTTCTAGTCCCAAGAACCACTGAGGAGCCATGATTGGAGTTGCAGACCATTCAGATTGGGGTGAAGTGTTCAATCCACATTCTGAGACAACAGTTGAAAACTGACTGGGAGCTGCGACAGAGGGAGAGAAGTGAGTCTGATGATGTAAGGAAACCAAACTTGTCTTGGCCAAGTTGGTGCAGTCAAAATAACCCTGGCTTGGTCTTGCTTGATATTGTTTAAAACCTTTGAAAGCAATGGAGTTGGTGGATATACATAAAAAGACCCTTTGTTCACGTAATGAAAAAGGCATCTCCTAGAGATTGGGGATCGAGTCCTCCTCTGGACGAAGATTTTGTGCACATCTTCCTGGTTGCAGTGGTGAAAGGACAGACCTCAGAAAATCCCCAAGCAAAAAATTTTTTGCGTGGGTTCAAGAGTCCAACTCCCATTTGTAATTTAGCGAAAAATGTCTGCCATGGTGTTTTACACCCAGGAGGTAAGAAGCCAAAATGACCGATGCACTAATTCCAGAGCTCTATCACTGATGCAGAGTGAGGGGGAAATGGGCTCCTCCCTGACCACTGATATAATATATACAAGGTATGTTGTCTATCATGATCTTGATCGATTTGTTTTTGATTAGGGGAAGAATGTGGAGACAAGCATTTCTGGTAACTTTTAACTCCAGCAGACTGATATGCAAGTATTCCCATTTGCACCAGGCTGCATGAGGACCTGGTTGTGCTCCCCATCTCAAGAGGGAAGCATTCAATGTTATGATCTTAGGAGGATTCTTAATGAATGGGATTCCTTCAAAACCTTCTACCATGTGAGTGACTGTCAGACCCGGCTGGATACGGACACCCGCTTATTCAGACTGTGTTGGGTATGTAAATTGTTGATATCAAATATGTAACTTGACATTTTGTGTTACAAAAAACACAAGCTACCCTATGTCCCAGAAGCTGCAGATATATCCTTGCTGGAATTTGAGGACTGAGGTGCATTCTCTGGATAAGGTTCTTTAGAGCGAGGAACCTGACAGGAGGGAGATAAGCCCTGCCAGTCATTGCATCCAGAAAAAACTCCTATAAAAATTATTCA